CCCAGGATCGGACATTGTTTCATTCTGCTGTGCATGGGGTTGCTATGAGTCGGTTCTGACTCGATGGCACCTGACAACAACAACAACATATATATGGACTCCTGGTGTGGTACTATAGGTTAAGAAGCACTGGACTGCTAACTACAAGATCTCAAAGGAAGGTAAAAGTTTCTTTTAAAAAAAAGCATTACTGGTGATGATACATGGATTCATCACTATAAGTCTGAGAGGAAATGGCAGAGTGTGAAATAGAAACATGATTCCATTGCTGACCAAGAAAAAGTTAAAAAGTCAACCATTAGCGGCAAAGTTGATACAGTTTTCTGGGATTCTCAAGGACCAGTATTGAACACTATCAGGAAAAACTTGCAACAATCAACAGTGCTTGTTACAGTGAGATGCTCACTGAAGAGCTGAAGCCTAAATTTTGGATTAAATGCAGAGGACTGCTATCCAAGAGCATTGTGATCTTGTATGACAATGCACATCCGCATACCTCTGCTCACACTGTTGACACTCAGCAAAAACTATGTTATGAGGTGTTCAAGCACTTCCTTATAGTGCTGCTCTGGCTCCATTGGACTTTAACCTGTCGGGTCCCCTGAAAGCAGTGCTTCAAGAATGAAGACTCCCCTCTGATGAAGAAGTGAAGACAGTGGTGCATTTGTGGTTTGCAGCTCAGCTTAAAACACTTTTTAATAAGGGAATGCGAAAGCTTGTTGATGGATGGACAAAATGTATTGAAAAGCAAGGAGCATATGTTGAAAAAAGGATGTATTTGTGTTTTCTAAAAGTTGATTAATAAAAGTCTACAGCCACAGTGCTGATACTTTTTGACTCACTCACATAAATATTTAAATGTAAATACACATACATACATTGTTGCTGTTGTTAAGTACCATCGAGTCAGTTCCGACCCACAACAATCCTGTATAGGATTTCTGAGGAGCAGCTGGTGAGCTTAAACCATCAACCTTGCAGTTCAAACCAACTTTACAGTTTAATGCATTAACACACACTGCCACACCAGGACTATTCATATATATATATATATATATATTTTTTTTTTTTTTAACTGCTGACCTTGCAATTAGCAGTCCAGTGTTCATCATCCTATGGAGTCACACCAGGATGCCTGAAAACCCTATCCAGAGTCACTATGAGTCAGAACTGACTTGACAGCTCTTAACAACAATAGCAACAAGACATATATGCTGCTGTTGTTGTGTGCCAATGAGTCAGTTTGACTCATAGTGACTCTGTATAGGATTACCAAGAGCAGATAATGGATTTGAACTATTAACCTTGCAGTTACTAGTCCATTGCTTACCCTACAGCACCCCATGTGAGGGGTCTTGAAAAAGTTCATGGAAAATGGAATTGAATATTATGGCATTTTTCTTCAAACTTTTTGAGATGGATAGATAGATAGAGATATAGAAGAAAGAAAGAAAGATAGATAGATATAAAGAATTTTGTTGTTGTTGTTAGATGCCATTGAGTTGGTGCTGATTCATAATGACCTTATGCACAGCAGAACAAAACACTGTCCAATTCTGGGCTAACCTCACTACTGTTGCTACGCTTGAATCCATCGATGCTGCCACTTGGCCAATCCATCTCGCTGGGGGGTCTTCCTCTTTTTCTCTGACCCTCCACCTTACCAAACATGATATCCTTCTCCAGTGACTGGTCCCTCTGACAATATGTCTGAAGTATAAGAGATGAAGTTTGGATAAAGAATATGGATAGATGTAGATAGATAGATAGATAGATAGATAGATAGATAGATAGATAGATAGATAGACAGATGTATAGATGGGCTCCTGGTGTGATGCTATGGGGTGATGCACTAGATTGCAAGGTTGGTTTAAACTGCAAGGTAAATGGTATATACATACTGATATGGCACAATAGGATCAACATTGGACTGTGAACCACAAGGTCGGTAGTTCAAACCCACCAGCTGTTCTTATACTGGATTACTATGATTCAGAACCAACTTGATTTCATTTAACAAAACCAACATATATATATATATATATATATATATATATATATACACACACACATACATATATGGCATACTTGGGTTAATCAGTGTGTATGACTTATATGCAAAATTCCACAGGAAAATCTGATCTGAGATTCGGGATTTGAGGTCTGAAACTTCTCTGGTGTTCAATATTTCAAGCCAATCCATGTATTCACTGATAGTAACAAATATGTATTGCGGACCTAGTAGATGCCAAGCACTGTTGCAGATGCTGTTATTACCATAGTGGACCAAACAATACCCAAGTTAATGATTTTTAACAGCTCTAAAGTTTTTCTCTGTATTTTAAATTCTATAGTGTCTTCTTAGATCTTAGTTCTTTTAACGTTCTACATCTTAGAAAGTGAGGTGCAATTTTTGATCAGACAATATTTTAAATTACAGGAGAAAGATTTTTTTAAAAAAAGAGTCCATTCCAATTCACAGCAACACTATAAAGCCAAGTGGAATTGCCCTGTAAGGTTTCTGAAGCTTTTACAGAAACTCATCTTTCTCCTGCATAGTAGCTGGTGGGTTTGAACCACTGACCTTTCAGTTAGTAACCCAATGCTTCGCCCACTGTGACATCAGGGCCCCTTGAGCAGAGAGACAAGCAATGAACAATAATTATATAGTGTATCAAGCAGTGCTCAATATAATGGGAACCTCATCAGGATGAAAGGATGGAAAGTGATAGGTATACTTAATTTACTAAGCTAAGAATGGTCATCATATATGTTTAAGTTTTCCATTAAAAATGTTTCATCAAAAAATAATGAAACTGCATTTAAGTTCCTTTGACGATCTTTCAGATCGTCAGCACTAACGTGACTGGAAAGCTCACTCTGTACCTTACAGGAACATAAGCTTCATGAAGGCAGGGACTTTTAACTGCTCTGTTTGTGCTGTATTCCCTAGAAGTACCAGGACAGGATAGGCATTCAAGAAACATTTGTTGAATGAATGAGGAGAAAATTTTAAAAGCCAGGCTCTGTTCTGGGTACACACGTAAATTCATTAATCCTCATAATAGTCTTATAAAATTGTTGTTGTTGTTAAGTGCCGTCGAGTCGGTTCCGACCCATAGCGACCCTGTACAGGGTTTCCGAGGGTGTAAATCTTTACGGGAGTAGAAAGCCTCATCTTTCTCCCGCGGAGTGGCTGGTAGTTTCGAACCGCTGACCTTAAGGTTCGCAGCCCGATTCGTAACCACTACGCTACCAGAACTCCTTAGTAAATATATAAGTGGTATTATTTCTGACTTTTTAGAGATAAGGAAACTGAGGCAAGCAGTGATTCATAGAATTGCTAGTAAGTGACATACCATAATATCAAGATGAAAGAAATCCAAGCAGTGGGTTCTAGAGATTTCAAACTTTGTCCTTCTGCTACATTACCTCTTACACAAACCAGTACTATACTCACATAAGGAAACGTATTTCTCTCCGTTTGAATATGCTCTGTAGAGTTAAAAATTCCAAGAAGGCCATTGCTAATAATTCCGATAAGAATAGGGAAACAATTAATTCTCTTGGTATTACATGCAACTGAAAATGTGTAATCCTTAAAAACAAAAAGAACATGCAGATGTAAATCCTAAAACCGTCAAATGTAAGTTATAGATTACATATTACCATAGTGTAACTAGGGTGAAATGAGACTATGATTTTATTTGACCCCTGCCTGCTTAAGTTGGTATAAGAATGCATTATCCTTATAATTGTAGTAACTCATTTTTTTTAATGTAGCAGATTAATACTCATTAACATAGAAGATGTCAAAAATTTCCATTTTATATGACAAAGTTGTGAGCTTGTTTAATATTGTTCTAATTTAGAAAGTATATTTTCATTTTTTTTCAAATATAGGACTGTTCTCGCTATAGGGAGTTTGTGATTTTATGGAAGAAAATAACATAGATAGTTAATAAATGACTAAGGGGTTACAGATATATAATATGGAAAAAGAAAAAGGATGAAAGTTTGGGGCAAATTCTACCCTCTGTATTATTTACTCTAGTAATGTTTGAATTCTTCTATCAAATGTCCATTACTTTTATAACAAATAAATCTACCAACAGAAATTATTTCTTTAGGAAATAACTGAAGATGAAAAACAAGTCTTATAAAGGATTAAAATGTCATGTCTTAGTCAAAAAGGTCTGGGTAGAGTTTTGAGCTATGTTCCTTTAGAATGGTCGAATTGTCCTCATATAGTTTCAAAACATTCAGATATTTTGAAGTCGCTCATGATAAACAGTACATGGAAGTAAAAATACCTTCTTATCACCAGACACAATGATTGCTCCATTGTACAAAGGATCATCTGAGCCATTTCTATTTTCAAAGTCATCTATTTCCAGAACAAGATTCTGATGTTTTAGTGAATGCACAAAGTCTTCAATATTTGATCCTAGTGCAGTCAATGAAGAAAGGCAGTTAAAACTAAGAACATCAATGCCAAAGCTTCAAAATAATCATTTCCACTGATGTGAAGGAATACTCAGAAAGGTCTATTAAAGATCCTCATTCCTTTTGAGTCTGCTAATATTTACACTAATTTTGGGGTGCTGAAAGAAGCCCTGGTAGCACTGTAGAAATAGCACTGGACTGCCGACCACAGGTAATTCAAACCCACCAGCCACTCCAGAAGAGAATGATGAAGCTGTGTGCTCCCATAAAGATATATAGTTTCAGTAATCCTATATAAATAAGGTCCTAAAATCCTGATGTGGTGCTGTAGGATCAGCACTGGACTGTGAGCCACCAGGTCAGCAGCTCAAACCCACCAACTGCTCCTCGGAAGCCCTATATAGGGTGGCTATGAGTCAGAATCAACTCAACAGCACACAACAAAAACACTATGAGTTGGAATCCATCATTCCTCTGTCAGTTTGTCATACTGTGGTGGCTTGCATGTTGCTGAGATGCTGGAAGCTATGCAGGGTCACCCATGATGGACAGGTTTCAATGGAGATTCCAGACTAAGACAGACTAGGAAGAAGGAGAGGTGAACCAATTCTCAATGGTTAACAGTTGAGCATTGTCAGATATCATGCCGGAAGAATCCCTCAGGTTGGAAGGCACTCAAAATACATCCAGGAAAGAGCTGCCTGCTCAAAGCAGAGTTGATGTTAATAACGTGAATGGGGCAAAGCTTTCCAGATCTTCATTTGATGATGTGGCACAGCTCAGAATGAGTAAAAACAGCTGTAAACACCCATTAATATTTGGAGCATGGAATGTACAAAATATGAATTTAAGAAAATTGTTGTTGTTAAGTGCCATGGAGTTGGTTCCGACTCATAGTGACCCTGTACAGGGTTTTTGAGGCTGTAAATCTTTATGGGAGCAGAAAAGCTCATCTTTCTCCTGTGGAGCAGCTGGTGGTTTCGAACTGCTGACTTTGCAGTTGGCAGACCGATTCGTAATCACTACGCTACCAGAACTCCTTAAAGAAAAATTGGAAGCGGTCAAAAATGAAATGGAATGCATTTGTGAGCTGAAATGGATTGGTATTGGCCATTTTGAAACAGACACACAAGTTTACTATGCCAGGAACAACAAATTGAAGAGGAATGGCATTACATGCATCATCAAAACAGAATTCCAATGATTTAAGATAGATCTTGAAATCCTATCTGTGATAGGATAATATCCATACAACTGCAAAGAAAATCACTATTATGCAAATTTACATGTCAACTACTAACTTACTCATTATGGAATTGATGAAACATACACTCAAAATGCATTGATAATTACTGATTATTGGAATGCAAAATTTGAAAACAAAGAGGAAGGACCAGTAGCTGAAAAATATAAACATGCTGCATTTCTCCAGCTGAAAGAACTAAAGAAAAAAATTCAAGCCTCAGGTTTCAATATTAAAGAATTCTTCCTGGTGTGGTGTTGTAGGATAAGCACTGGACTGCTAACCCCAAGGTCAATGGTTCAAGCCCACCAGATGCTCTTTGGAAACCCTATATATGGTTACTAGGAGTCAGAATCGACTCAATGGCACTTAACAACAACAACACAGACAAAATATTGAATGATACAGGAAGTACCAAAAGAAGATAAGAGCCATTTTATCAAAAAGAACTGGTCAATTCTCAACCATTTCAAAAGATAGTATATGATAAAGTACTAATTGTACTGAAGGGAGTTCAAGATGCATTGAAGTCACTGGTTGAAAAAACAAGGCTCCTGGAATGAATGGACTACAAATCAAAATATTTCAACAACTAGATGCAATACTTGATGTGCTCACCTGTCTATACCAAGAAATTTGGGAGAAAGCTACCTGGCCAACCAATTGAAAGAGATCCATATTTGTGCCCATGCCAAAGAAAGGTGATCCAACAAAGATGTGAAAATCATCGAACAATATCATTAATGTCATATGGAAATAAAATTTTGCTGGAGATACTCCAAAAATGGTTACAACAGTACATGAACAGGAAGCTTCCAAAAATTCAAGTCAGATTCAGAAAAGGACAGGAATGAAGATGTCATGACTGACGTCAGATGGCTCTTGGCTGAAAGCAGACAGCACCAGAAAGATGCTTACTTGTGCTCTATTTATTACTTGTGCCTTAGGCAAAGGCTTTTACCTATGTGGATCATGACAAGCTATGGATTACACATTGGGAAGAATGGGTATTCCAGAATTGGTATTGTGCTTATGAGAAACCCGTACATAGACCAAGATGCAGTTGTTAGAATAGAACAAGGGGGTACTTAATGGTTTAAAACCAAAAAAGGTGTGTCCAAGGGTTGTGTCCTTTAACCCTACTTATTTAATCTGTATGCTGAACAAATAACTCAAGAAATCTGACACCAAGATTGGAGGAAGACGCATTAACAACCTATGATATGCAGATGACAGTCTTGCTTGTTGGATGTGAATACTTGAAATGTTTACTGATAAATATCAAAGACTTCAGTACAGATTGTACCTCAATGTAAAGGAAACAAAAATCTTCATAATTGGACCAATAAATAACATCATGATAAATGGAGAAAAGATTGTAGTTGTCAAAGATTTCATTTTGCTGATTCCACAATCAACCCTCATGGAAGCAGGCAGCAAGCAATCAAACGACATATTGCATGAGGCAAATCTGCTGCAAAAAACAAAGCACTTTAAAGTGTTAAAGATGTCAGTTTGAGGACTAAGGTGTGCCTGCCTCATGCTTTGGTATATTCAATCACCTCATAGGCATATACAAGTTGCACAATGAACAAGGAAGACAATAGAAGAATCAATGCATTTGAATTACAGTGTTGGCAAAGAATATTGAAGGTACCATGGGCTGCCAGGAGAACAAACAAATCTGTCTTTGAAGATGTACCACCAGAAGGTTTTTAGTAGCCAGGATGACAAGACTTTGTCTCCTGTTCTTTGGAGGTGCTTTCAGGAGGGATCAGTCCTTGAAGAATGACATTATGTTTGGTAAAATGAAGGTTAACCAAAAAAAGGAAGAGCCCCAACAAGATAGATTGGCACAGTAGCATTAACAATGGGCTCAAACATAGCAACAGTTGAGACAATGGTGCGGGGCCTGAGCCATGTTTCCATCTGTTGTACAGAGTCGCTATGAGTCCGAACCGACTTGACGGTACCCAAACAACAAGAAGTCAGAATTGACTTGATCTTAGTGGTTTGGGCCTTGGTTTTTGGTTTGGGGGACTGAAGTCAAACTTTCCATTTTCAGACTCCTTTCTCAGAAATGCAAATTTATTATGTAATTCTTATAAGCTAAAAGAGTATATTCACGTAAGTCAAGATTGCATTTCTCACAGAAATAAAATTTCTTTACTAATGACATGTACAAATTTCTCCAGAATCCTATAATGCTTGTAATAATAAATATCAGTTGTAATCAACTTTACCCAATTCACGGTGACCCTTGTATGTCAGAGTAAGAATTATACACCATAAGATTCGCAATGTCTGGTTGTTTGGAAATGGATCACCAGACCAAGTTCTCAGGTGTCGCCGAGTGGACTAGAACTTCTAGCAGATGAGAGTAAGTCATTTGCACCCAGGGACGCTGTAACTATAAATTGCTGTTGTTGTTGCTGTGTGCCAGAGTGCATTTCGACTCATAGCAACCCTATCTAGGGTTGCCAAGGAGCAGATAGTGGTTTTGAATCATCGACCTTGAGGTTAGCAGTCCAGTGCTTATCCTACAGCATCACACCAGGACCCCACAATTATAGATACTAAAATCCCTCATGGCCCTGGCTTCTAATGATATAAATATAACTTTCTTGCTATCTCACCTGCTAAAACCACTAATCTTGCAATGATATTTACAGCACCATTAACCTGTTCAAAACACCTTTTAAAAAAAAAATTGGTATTTGCCTGTTTCCATTCTTTTTTTTTAATTTGACAATGAATCCACCAATTGCAAAAAGACAGCCAGCTGTACAAATACCAGTTCTCCCTATTGTTCCTCAAGTTGTTTGCAATATAGGTCTCTCAAGTTTACACTTTCAAAAATTTATAGAAAGAACAACAACAACAAAAGTCCTATACAACCAAGAACCAAAAAAATTCTACTTCTCACCTGTGTTATTGATGATTAATAGACTAGTAAGAGGAGCCTTTGGAGGTTGTTCCAGAGAAAGGAAATACATACTGGGTGAAAATTCCCAACAATCAGTCTCATAATACATCCTTAACAGTACCTTTTCAAAAGTGGCCGGGATAAATGCCACCAAAAGTAACAGTAACCTAATAAAAGAACATGAAAATAGGAGTTTAAAACAAATTCTTCTGATGATATAAGCCACTAACATGCCACATAAATGTCAGTCTATGGGAATTATGAAAAGGATGCTTAGTTTGATAAAATAAAATTTAAAATAAGATTACTGTGAAAGTGAATCTAAGATTTTATACAATGTGCACAACATTGGAAGGTGTCCAAGAGCAATAGAGTTGCTTCAAGAGCCAAGATGGATACCAGGGGCATACTCTGGAGATGTGCTAGTTGGCCAGGACAGCATGTGAAAGAAGAGATATGCTGTGAGGAGATGTCAGGGCATCTGTAACCACCTGCTTGAGTCCTTTTGAAGGAAAAGTATTCTTATTTCACACGGTGGCCCTCAAATATGAAATGTGCACAATTTACAAGTATAAGCTTAATTTTCATCATCTGTTATTTTATGTATATTTTAATTTTCATGAAAGTCGATGTCATATTTAATATGCTATTGTCAGATCTGAGAATTCATTCCAAAAGTCATGCTGTGAATAAAACACTCATAGGCAATCTTTCTATTTTTCTAGCAAGCAGTGAGTCCACTCTTTTCAATGACTATTTTCTATTCTCCTCCCTTTTGGCCTCATACATTTCATGGAAAAAATAGAATCCATCAGACAGAAACTCTTTTGTATGAAAGAAAAAAAGGAAAGGGAGGAGAGAAATAATGGAGTAAGGATGAAGGGAGGGAGGGAGGAAAAGAGGGGGGAGAGAGAGAGAGAAGGGAGGAATGGAGAGAGGGAGGGAGGGAGAGACAGAAGAGAAGAGGAAGGGAGGAACGGAGGAAAGGAGACAGGGAGGGAGGGGGAAATGAGAAGAGAGAAAGGGAAGGAGAGAGGGAAGGAGGGAGAGAGAGAAGAAAAGAGGAAGGGAGGGAAGGAGAGAAGGAGGGAGGGAAAAAGAGAAGGGAGAGAGAGAGGAAAGAAGGAAGGAAGAGAGGGAGGGAGGGAGGGAGGGAGGAAGACATCCACAGATGTCTCCATTTCCCCATCTTTCTTTATGTTGTAGTAGATCCTATGTCTTGCTCTCATCAAAGTCTAGTCCTTTTTGAATCTACCCCCCTCCCACCCTCTCTGAGACCTTGGTCAGTCACCATCTCTCTCCATCTTCCATTTTATTTGGCTTTTTCCCATAATCACTGAAGCATGCTATATCTTCCATGCAAAACAACAACAACAATAAATTTTTCTCTTGACTCCCTATCTCCCTTCAGCTTCTACTTTATACCTCCCTCCATAGTCAAGCACCTCAAGTTAGTCTAGTTTTGATAAAACCTTCAATGACTCCCATATTGGCAAACCCAGTGAGTGCTTTTAGTTCTGAACTATTAATCTTGCTCACTTATCTGCTCATCTCCGCATCTCTTTCTAATCTTTGCTCAGTTGTTTCCATTTCAAAGAGACCAATCCTGCCCACCAGTTTCTAAATGGTAATGCTTTCCAAAGCCCACCAGCCTCCTCATCTTCTTATTCTGTTTAGTGTGACAGATTGCATAATTTACAATTTTTTTTTAAATGTTACTTTTTTTTTTTGTCTTTTTCCCCTCAATCAAAAGATTATAAGAACAGGGATCAGTACCTTCTGTCTTCACTGGGAATCAAAACATAAAGAACATAGGAGCCTTCAGGAAAGATTTGTGACTTAGTGAGTAAATAATATGCTTATTGCATGATCATTTCATTATCACTTTGTCCCCCACTAGACCTGGTCAATTTTGCTGCTCACTGTAGACCCATCTCAGAAAACCCTGCGGAGTGTCACTGTGAGTCAGAACTAACTTGATGGCAATGGATTTTGCATAGGATTGATTTTGACACTCAACATTTATATTAAATGGTTGAAAAATTGAATAGGGCACTTTTCTTCACATTTGAACCTTTTTTGAGTCTATTAAACAGATTTAAAGTTGCCTGATACTCACAAAGACAAAAGAGCTCTCCTGTTACGCCTTAATTGTAAAAAGCGAAGTCTGGCCATGGCAAAGACCTGTCTTCTCCAGAGAGTTCTGTCACTGACGGTTTTACTCATTTCCGGAAGAGAACAAAGAGCCTGTTGTATTTCAGATTTATTTTCAGTTTCTCTTGTCACATCTAGTTTTTCTTGTTTCCAAATGCCAAAATCTATAATCATATAACAAACCACTATAATAAACTATGTTATATGTGCTTTCTCTTTAGAAACATTAACAATCATAGTAGAATATTTGTGAGATCATTTCTAACAACATAAGCCACTGATATCCATGAATCTTATATATCCAAAATCTTGCCTTCAGACAATATAATGGATTCAATGCATTAAGTAAATGTATATTTGAGGATTGTTTAGGCTTCTTGTGAAGTGTTTTGCTTTCATGCCAACAGCACCAACTCTTCATTAAGGAACTTTTTCTCTATTTGGGGCAGAGAAAATTGTATGCAGTAGCAGAAGAGATAGATTTGTGTTACTAAGTTTCTAGCATGTCTCCTGTTATCTGGAACCTTCTTCACAGGAAGACTGTATCAGTATGTCTGATAGCCTATGGGCTGGATTAAGATTTGGTAGTTTTAAGTACTGGAAAGCCCATAAAAAAAACCTTCCAATGGAATCCCACAAGTAGTACACCTTAGTTATATAGCCTTAGCTAATCGCTCAATTTCTCTACATCTCAGCCTTCTCACCTCACCAGGAAGTTATTATGGAAATAGAGAAGAACAGAAGCCAAGGGCTAAGCACAGTGGTGGGCACGTTGTAGGCTCCTACGTCTCTTCATTGGTTTGATTACAGAGCAAACTAAAGAGCTTTAAGGTCTTACTCTTTATCTGTTATGAACACCTCAATATGAATCAGTTCATTAGCCAAGAATAAGCACATTTTAATAAGGATGAGCATAGAGGAGACGAACCCAGAATTCATAACACTAGCAGAGAATCAATGGTGATAAGAAGGAAGGCGAGGTCACTACAAGGAGAAGTGGCCATCCTTGCCAGGGGCAGTAAACAAATATCATGAAGTAATTGACCTCACACCAAGCCTGATTATGTTCGATATAAAAGAATTGATACTTTAAAAAGTAGACAACACTATTCTGCATTTAATATATATTCTAGGCAGAATTTCACATAAAAAAAGTTGCAAACATGACTTTGTATCTGGTCATTTATTTTTATTTCTTTTACTTTTAAATTTTTTTTCTATTTGTTAGACACACATTTTTATACCTGGTTCATCAATTGTTGATTTGCCTTCTAGGTTCAAGAATGCTTCGGTCAGAGTTGTCATGGAAACACCATAACTGATTATGCCTTGGTCAGAACACTGATCAAGGTCACTATAAAGACCTAAAAAACAGATAACACATTGGTGTAATGAAAACAGCTCATGAGGACATTTCAGATACTGTTTTATAGGGATCACTCAAAGTCAATCAATCTGTACTACTTTCAGAACATGACTGTGACAATAATCTGAGGAAAATCTGTCCATAGGACAGTCTCCTGTCTTTTAAGTCAATTTTATTACCTTTTACCACTATTTTGTTGAAATGAATTCTAAATTTTCTTGTGTTACTATGACCATGTTTGTCGTTGCATGAATATCTGCTTGTGTATCTATTTAAATATTTATTGGGCAGAGAAAAATTATCTTTTCTTCACTATATTTCTATATTTATACAGAGAATATTATTTTATAATTAAAACGATCATTTAAAAACCATATAGAACTGTTTACATGTATTTCAAAATATAATACCTTATTTAACTTGTATCTCTAATAGAAATTAAAAGTCTCTGTTGCAGAAAAAAGACATTTCAAAGCTCCATTCAGTACTGATAAAGAAAGCAACTCTGGGTTTCATAATGAACTACATTCAGTGGAAATTTTAAAAGCTCCAACATTAAAACCATGTGTCTGGTAAGAAAGACAGAGTATTTAACAATGAAATAATCTCATTTGTACAGACTTTAAAACCCAATTCATAAAACATTGGAAAATGTAATTAGTGTAATTATTGTTTCCCATCAGTGTTCCGGGTGACATACTCATGTGTCCTCTGTGGGGTTCTGTGTCTCCTGCTCATGGACTTCAGTGTATTCTATATGACATAAATGCAGGTCCTCTGTGGGGTTCTGTGTCTCACGATCATGGACTTCAGTGTATGCTATATGACATAATTACAGGTCCTCAAAGGGGTTCTGTGTGTCACGATCAAGGGACCTTGGCAGTATTCTGTGGAACTATGTCATGGCCCCTCCATGAGAGTCTGTTTGAGCATAGTCATGAAATCTCAGTCATATTTCCATAAATATAACCATTGACCTTCAGTTGTATTCAATATGACTATACAGTAAATTTACCTGAAAATTTGCTTGTCCTATCCAAGGGTAAAGTATACACAAGCTTCTCTTCACTTTCAGCTCTCAGTTTGGCTTCAGGGATGTGCTGTTTAACGAGGGATGTGATTCTCTGTGGATCACACATTTCATTCCTATGTAAACTGTTTCATAAGAGGATTAGTCTTTTAAATTTGTCAACACCATGACTCATGAAAAACAGTTTTGAGTAAATAAATAGTTTGTATATGTTACAGAAACATCATGCTTAACCTCAGTAATCAGTTCTTACAAATCTGATATTCCAACCAAAGTGCTAAAGCAAATGGAAGAAATGTGGAGGCAAAGAGTTGAACAGAAAAATTTGAAGGGCAGCTTGAGAAGACAAAGTCAAATATTATAATGAAATGTGCAAAGATCTGGAGTTAGAAAACCAAAAGGGAATAACACGCTTAGCATTTCTCAAACTTATAGAACTGAGAAAATTCAAGCTACAACTTGCAATAGTGAAGGATTCTTTGGGTAAAATGTTGATTGAATGATGCACAAAACATCAAAAGAAAATGGAAGCAATATACAGAATCATTGTAACAAAAAGAAATAGTCAATGTTCAAGAGGTAGCATATGATCAAGATTCAATGGAACTGAAGGAAGAAGCCCAAGGTGCACTGAAGGCATTGTCAAAGAACAAGGCTCTGAGAATTGGTGGAATGCAAATTGAAATTCTTTCAGTAAACTGATACAGCACTGGAGGCACTCACTCATCTATGAGAAGAAATTTAGATGACAACTACCTGACCAACCAATTAGAAGAGTTCCATATCTGTCCCCATTCCAAAGAGAGGTGACCTAATGGGATACGGAAATCATTGGACAGTATCAATATCACATGCAAGTAAAATTTTGTTAAAGATCATTCAAAAGCAGCTGCAACAGTATATTGACAGGTAAAAGCAGAGATTTAAGTTGGATTCATACAACAACAAGGAATGAAGGTGTCATTGCTGACATCAGATGGATCTTGGCTGAAAGCAGAGAATACCAGAAAGATGGTGATCTCTGCTTTATTGATCATGCATAGGCTTTCCACTGTATGAATCATGACAAGCTATGGGCAACATTGTGGAGAATGAGTATTCTGAAACACTTAATTGTGTTCAAGAAGAACCTATACATAGAATGAGAGTCAGTTGTTCAAACAGAACACAGAATGGCTTAAAATCAGGTAAGATGTGCACCAGGGTTGTATTCTTTCACCATACTTATTCAATCTATATGCTGAGCAAATAATCTGAGAAACTAGACTATATGAAGAAGAAAGTGGCATCAAGTTTGGAAGAAGGCTCATTAACAACCTGTGATACACAGATGACATGACTGCTTGCTAGAAATAAAGGGGAATTTAAATACTTACTGACAAAGATCAAAGACCACAGCTTTTGATATGAGTTACATCTGAATGCAAAGAAAATTAAAATCCTTACCACTGGACCAATAAATAACATCGTGATAAATTAAGTTGTCAAAGATTTCATTTTGCTTGGATCCACCTTCAACACTCATAGAAACAGCAGTCAAGATATCAAATGATGTATTACATTTGACAAATCTGCTGCACAAGATGTCTTTAAAGGATTCAAGAGCAAAGATGTCATTTGGAGGACTTAGGTGTGCCTGATGCAAAATGTAATAACCTCATATGCAGGTGAAAGTAGGACAGTGAATAAGAAGGACCATGAAAGAATTGATGCGTTTGAGTTATGATATTGGAGAAGAATGTTAAAAATATCATGGGCTTCCAGAAGAACATGTGTTGGAAGAAGTACAACCAGAATGTTCCTTAGGAGCCAAGATAGCCAGACTTTGTCTCTCATGCTTTGAACATATTCTAATGAGGGACCAGACCCTGGAGAAGGACATCATGCTTGGCAAAGTGGAGGGACAGTGAAAAAGAGGGAGACTTCCTGTGAAATGAATTGGCACCATGGCAGCAACAATGGGCTCAAGCATAGTGGCAGTTGTGATGGCACAGGACCAGGCGGTACTTCGTTTTGTTGTACATAAGGTTGCTGTGGGTCAATATCTACTCAACGGCATCTTTCAACCAAACAGATAACTTCTCAGAACACTTAAATGGGCACTACCTTAAATAATATCCAATTCCCCATTTTCGCTTCAGAAACAATGACGATCCTGCACATTTCAACTTGCCATTCGATAGAAACACTTTCCTTTCTGAGTAAAAAGAAAGAAAGAAAGAAAGAAGAAATTAAACTATGTAGAGATAATTCCTTATAGGAATATAGGATAACTCTCTAGTCTAGACACAAATACACTAAATGAATTACCCTTTTTAAATGTAACCTTGATGCAACTGAGTCCCTGGATTCAGCATTGCCTCTCATCCCTGGGCTGACTCAAAGGCTTCTCAGAAGTCACTGCATCCCCCACAGCTACCCCAATCCCCCAAACTCATCCCCACTCTTGCTATTGACACACTTTACTAGGTAACATTGCCTGTTCTCCCACCATGGGAGGGTGAACTGCCCTGCACCTTGGGAATGGACTCCCCCATATGACTTGTTTTGGCCAATGGCATGTTAGCTGACACTGGACAAGCAAAGGTTTAAAATGAACTGATTCGCTGGAGATTGTCTTCTTTAGACTCAGTCACAGTCAGAAGAACATGCTTTGACTTTTGGTCAGCTGGAGGCTGAAATCCAGCTCCAGAGGGAAGGACTCTGTCACCAAAGTCACCTCAGCCAACACTTAGCCAACTCCCAGATGGCTGAGTGAATGCTGTCAACACCCAATAATTCCCTCAGGTGAACCCACCCTAAATTGGCAACTCCTTCTTGACACCTGTACTAAAGAAACACTTACTGACTTATGGTACTGAGATTTGGCTGATTTGTATGCAGCATGACTGAGGTAACAGATAACTGATATAAAGTTTATTCTACCTCATATTTCAGACACTGCACACCACACAGCAATCCACCAGAATCTCTTTTCAGCTTCATTTTTTTGTTGTATTTTTTTTTACTTTTCCTCCATGATTCATTTGCTCTAGTCTTCCCCAAGCCCCACTATTTTCTATGCAAAAGCATTTGGTTCTATCATTGCTTGCATCTTCACATACAACACCGCACTCATTGAGCAAAGGTCTTCCAGGGAAGGCAACAAAGGTTTGTAAAACGAATTTTTCCCACCTTAAGCTTTTAATGGCGGTGCTTTGTTCTGGCATTACAAGAAAAATCTGTACGTGAAACTGATATGGGTTTTTCAAATTTTAAAGCGTATGTTGTTTTTGTTAGGTGCCATCGAGTCGGTACTGACTCATAGTGACCCTATGCACAACAGAACTGCCCGATCCTGGGCCAACCTCACAAATGTTGCCACGCTTGAGACCATCGATGCTGCCACTTTTGCTATTAATGTATACAGTCAAGAAACTCACAGACGAGAAGAGGATATATTATATATGAATCTAAGAACTTGTGGGAAAATCAAAATTCCACCTGAGGTAAGTCTATCTTCAGAATACCATCGTGTAAGTGGGTGGCAGACAAGACTCTCTTCTACTAAAAGCAAGCTATAGAAAATCTCTCTCACACTAAATCCTTAGATAACTGAGTAAAATAAAGAAACCAAGATCACCAGCCAAGACGTCAGCTTCATCCATGAATTGGGTGCTGAAAAGGACCACATGGTCTGATTTTCGCTCTTTCAGGAGGCTCCATACTCGGTGCCTTGAAAAGGGATCTAACCCAGCAGTAGGTTCATCCAGTAGCAAAACCTATAATGCAGGAAATGTCTATGAACATCTTCTGCCTCAAAATAAGGATCTTTAGAAAGTAGCACAGAAATGGGTATGATTTTTCAATTCAAATACAGTCCCCACTGGATCCATCCCACACTGGCATGGTACTTCATTAGAAAAATTATCTTATTCATTAGATAAGAATTTGAACTTTAGTAATTGCTGCATATCCTTCCATATTTTCTCTCACCTGAGGATCTCCTAAAAGGGCTATCCCAAATGTCAGTTTCCTCTTCTGTCCACCACTTAACTCCTTAGCATTGACATTTTGAATGTTTTGTATGTCCAATTCCATTATAATTCTTTTTACCTATACAAGAAGAAATAATCTCTTTAAAAAGCTAGAATGTTTTATGTTAAGCAACTCTCACTTTTTATACAATGGGAAGAAATTTACTCTAAAACTTCACTGCTCCTGTTTTATTTACAAAAAAGTAAAGTAATAGTTGAACAGAAATACAGTCAGGAGTAAAGTAATATTATTTCTGAAGTTATTGATTCAAATGTGTTCATCTACCTCTTCTTCCACTTCTTTGGCCTGAATCCCTCTTATTTTAGCAAATAGCCTGAGGTTTTCTCTTACGGTGAGAAAGTCAAATTGAATGTTGCCTTGTGGACAAAATCCAATGTTCTTTCTGATTTCTTCCATGTTGGTTCTTTGAGAGAGGTTGGTGTTATAAATGGTAGCTGATCCTATAAATTGAAATTTATAGATTATTTTAAAGAGTTTAACATTATTCTATGCAGAGTAGTCACAGATGGTATCAGTATTGAGCACTTGTTTTAAAAAGTAAATGTCTTGATCTATTTGAAGAAACTTCATATTTTTCTCATTGTGAATTCCAAGTCTAGTTGATTTCTAATTAATACATTGAGAAGTTCAGATTTTAACATACATATCAGTGTCCATAGCAATGTACACAATACTAAACAAAAGTGGAATAAAAATACACTTCTGATGGAATTACGTAAGTATGATATAAACATTTTGTTCTAAAGGAGACAACTATATAAGAACCTACTATAGAGTGACATTTTTTGTTACATAATCAAATTGAGGGAATTCAATTTACTATTGGCCAACTTGCTTACACAATTATTTTCTCACCTTCTGTTGACACAGAGAGTCCACTCAGAATGTTTAATAATGTTGATTTACCAGCTCCACTATGTCCAAGTATTGCAGTGATCTGCCCTTCATATATGTCAAGAAATATGCCTGTTTTGTAGAATAAAACAGAAAAATTAGACTTTGGACTCTATCCAGCATAAAGTCTTTTAAAAATGGAAGAGTAAGATATAACTTAGTATGTCATTTCATTTGTATTTTAATGTATTTTATAAGTGAATAATATTATATTTTTAATTGTATCTATTTAAAAAGTGAAGCATAAATTTCTCTGGAGAAATTTTAAGGGGTACTCTGAAGACAGAAAATTTAGGAAATTAGACTGTCAGAGAACTGAAAGTAAGGCGAGGTATAGCCCAAAACAGATGGTAAAATGGTCTATGAAAACCAAACAATTCCAGTGATGCTTCAGGCTCAGTGTAACATATCCAGGTTGAAGATTATAACCCAGTACTAATAGTGCAATCCTATTCAAATACCCACACATAGAAAGAAATATTTTTGGTTATTATATTTCATAGTAAAAATGTTTTTTTAAATATTCCCCTTCATCTATATTCATTCTCCATTCTTCTACTAATTATTTTCATTTTCTAGTAACACAACTTTTTCTAATTGAAAACTTCATCAGAAGAATGTTTTTCTCTTTACCTTGCAGTGCTTCTATTTTTCCAGCCTTTCCATTATATTCCTTCTTAATATTTCTTATTCTGAAAGAAGATTAAGCAACTTTGAGGTAAATACATTTTCTAATAACATAGATTATGACTGAATTCATACTTTATAGCACAGGGTGGTGTTAGTGGTTGTGTGCCACCAAATAGGTTCCGACTCACAGCAACCCTGTGTATGGTTTCCAAGGCTGTAAATCTTTACAGGAGCAGAAACCCTTATCTTTCTCCCAAAGAATGACAGGTTAGATTGAAACTGCTGACCTTGAGGTTAGCAGCCAGTTTATAATCCACTGCACTACCAGGGCTCCCCAGAACATAGAGTGTCACCCTCTAACTGGAATCCAGGAAGGAAGGTCTACTCCACCCTAAAAAGAGAGTTAACAAGCTTAGTATTTCATTGTTGTTGTTGTTGTTGTCAGGTGCCATCGAGTCGGAACCTACTCATAGCGACCCCTGCACAGCAGAACGAAACAATGTTCGATCCTGGGCCAACCTCACTACTGCTGCCACACTTGAGTCCATCAATGATGCCACCTGGCTGATCCATCTCGTTGGAGGTCTTCCTCTCTTTCTCTGACCCTCCACCCTACCCAGCATGACATCCTTTTCCAGTGATTGTTTCCTCCGGACAATATGTCCAAAGTATGAGAGACGAAGCTTAGCCATCCTGGCCTCCAAGGAGCACTCTGGCTGCACTTCGTCCAAAACAGATCTATTGGTTCTTTTGGCAGTCCATGGCACTTTCAGTATTCTCCTCCAACACCACAACTCAAAGGCATCAATTCTTCTACGATCCTCCTTATTCACTGTCCAGCTTTCGCATCCATATGAGGCTATTGAAAACACAAAGGCCTGGGTCAGGCGCACCCTAGTCCTCAAGCTGACATCTCTGCTCTTCAACACTTTAAGAAGTTTCTTTGCCCAGTGCAATACGTCGTCTGATCTCTTGACTGCTACTTCCACGAGTGTTGATAGTTGATCCAAGAAGGATGAAGTCCTTGACAACTTCAATCTTTTCTCCATTGATAAGAATGTTGTTTATTGGTGTTTCATAGACTCCAGCAATTTCTCCTCATTAGTAAGAGAATAAGGGGGAGACCAAGTTAGGAAGGAAGAAGGGAAGGTGATCTGATGATCTAATTGGCCTCCTTAAAATCACTCAGGGATTCCCCACCCTACGCGGGTCAGCCTAGTCTCTCTAACTTGACAAATAAAACCCTCCATGATCTAATTCTATCCTTGCCTCTTAAAGTTCACCTCTCCCTCTTCTGGCTTTGTACTTTAAGCTCAGAAGCACCAATGACTTGTCATTCTCCAGAAATCCACATCTTTCCATTTTAGGTTTCTCATGCCATACCAGCTCTCTACAAGGAAATCTCCATGCCAAACCACTTTGTGTGATCCAGAACTTCCTTCCCATAAGACTCATCCTCAAGTGTCTCCTGTTGTCCAACACAGTTAGGGCAGCCTGGATGACCCTGCACTATGTTCTTTTAATTCTTCCTTTGTCTGTATCATGGCATTTGCCAATTACCTGTTGAAGTACCTGTTCCCTCTGTTTCCCTCTGTGCTTCTTGAGGTGCCATTAATCTGTGTATTCTTGTTATAGGAGAGGAGTTAATAGATGATGAATAAAATAGAGAAGTAATTGATTTGTTAGCAGGAATAGTCTGGTCAGACTGATTAAAAAGGAGCAGGTTTAAGGTGTTCTCCCATGTTGGTTTTCTAACTCAAGGTCTCTGGCCATTTCATCACAATACCTGATTTTGTCTTTTCAAGCTGCCCTTTGAGATTTTCTGTTCAACTCTTTTACTTCCTCATTTATTTCTGTTGCTTTAGCTTCTCTATGCTCAAGAGCAAATTTCAGAGAGTCTTCTGACATCCACTTTGGTCTCTTTTCTTTTCTTTTTTTCCTTTGTTTTTTATTAATGACCCTTTGCTCTCTTCATGTATGGTGTTTGTGATATCATCACACAACACTTTTGGGAATTTGTCGTTAATGACTAATGTATCAATCTGTTCTTGAGACGGTCTCTAAATTCAGGTGGGATATACTGAAGGTCATACTTTAGATCTCATGTAATTGTTTCATTTTCTTCAACTTCAACCTGAACTTGCAGACAAGCAACTGATGGTCCGTTCCACAGTCTGCCCATGGCCTTATTTTGGCTGATGAGACCCATATGTCTATGTTGTTGAAAAAATGTATTTGCAATGAATCTATAATTGGTCTTGAAATTTCTATTATGCAATCTCCAGCATCATTTCCATAACCGAAGTCATTATTTCCCACCTATGGATCACTTCTCTCTGTTTCCACCTTTTATATTCCAATCACCAGTAATTATCAACACACCTTGATTGTGTGTTTGAGGCAATTTCAGACTGCAGAAGTTGGAAGAATTTTTCATCATCACTGGCTTTAGTAGTTGGAGGGTAATTTTGAATGAGAATGGTATTAACAGGCCTCCCTTGTTGTTGTTGTTGTTAGGTGCCATCAAGTCAGCACTGACTCATATTGAACAATGCACAACAGAATGAAAGACTGCTTGCTACCACGCCAACCTCACAAGCAGTTTTAAGCCTGAGCCCATTGCTGCCACTACTGTGCTAATCCATCTTGTTGGGGGTCTTCTTTTTCTCCGACCCTCCACTTTACCAAACATGATGTCCTTCCCCAGGTACTGGTCCCTCCTAAAAATATGTCTGAATTATAAGAGACAAAGTCAGGCCATCCTGGATTCCAAGGCGCATTCTGGCTGTACTTCTTCTAACATAGATTGGTTTGCTCTTTTGGCAGTCCTGGTACTTTTAAGATTCTCCTTCAACACTGTAGCTCAAATGTATCAGTTTTTCTACATCTTCCTTATTCTCTGTCCAACTTTCACATGCATATGAGATTACTGAAAATACCATGGCTTGGGCCAGGCACACCTTAGTCCTCAAATTGGCACCTTTGCTCTTGAACACTTAAAAAGAGATTTAGTCCAGCAGATTTGCCTAATGCAGTACAACCTTTTATTTCTTGGCTGCTCCTTCCACGAGTGTTGACAATTGATCTGAGCAAAATGAAGTCTTTAGTAACTTAACTTCAACCTTTTTTTCCTCTTATGTGCATGTTGTTTATTGGTCCAATGGTGAGAATTTTTGTTCTCTTTACAATGAGGTGCAACCCATACCACTAAAGGCTGTGGTCTTTTATCTTCATCAGTAAATATTTTAAGTCCTCTTTGCTTTCAGCAAGCAAAATAGTATCATCTGCATATCGCAGGTTGTTAATGAGTCTTCCTCCAATCCTGATGCCATGTTTTTCTTCATATAATCCATCTTCTCAGATTATTTGCTCAGCGTAAAGATTGAATATGTATGGTGAAAGAATAAAACCCTTTCCTATTTTAAAACCATTCGGTGTTCCTTTGTTCTGTTTGAACAACTACCTTTTTTGGTCTATGTACAGGTTCCTCATGAACATAATTAACAGTTCCAGAATACTCATTCTCTGCAATGGAGTCCATAGCACGTCATGATCCACACAATCTAAAGTCAATGAAGCACAGGTAAACATCTTTCTGGTATTCTTTGCTTTCAGCCAAAATCCATCTGACATTAGCAATGATATTCCTAATTCCACACCCTCTTCCTTGTAGGTGCATCGATATTATCCTATCACAGATAGTATTTTACTTTAAGGTAGATCTTAAAATATTCTTTTTGACAATGAATGTGAAGCCATTCCCTTGAGTTTGTCATTCCTGGCATAGTAAACCATGTGATTCAAGGATGCTAAATGGTTAATACTAGTTTATTCTAACTCACGAGAGCCTAGGGTATCAACCTTAATGCATCCCATTACATTTTTGATCACTTCTAATTTTCCTAGATTCAGACTTCTCACACTTCACAATCTGATTATTAATGGATGCTCGCAGCTATTTCTTCTCATTTTGAGTTATGCCAAATCAGCAAACAAAGGTCCAGAAAGTTTAACTCCGTCCATGTCATCTCTACTTTGAGGAGGCAACGCTTCCTCAAGCCTTCCAATCTGTAGGGCTCATATTCCTGGACAGTGGCTGACAGTGTTTTGCTGTCATAAGGTTTTCAATGGCTGATCATTTAGAAATATTCTGCTTCTCCTTTTTCCTAGTCTGTCTTAGTCTGGAAGCATCACTGAAACCTGTCTATCCTAGGTGACCCTGTTGGTATTTACAATACTGTTGGCATAACTTTCAGCAACACACAAACCACCACAGTGTGACAAACTGTTTGAGTCACAGTGTAACAACTATTCATGGGATCCTGATGTATGTTCTTTTAATTCTCTGTGTTCATGTTTACCACTACTTTTGCTAGTTATCTATTTAAGGACCTATTCCCTCTATTTCCCTCTGTATTTCTTGAGGTTAAAGACTTTGTCATTTATCTTTGTATCCTTGTTATAGAACAGAACTTAATAGATTATGAATAAATTAAAGAAGTAACTGATTTGCTAGCAGAAATAGTCTGGTCAAACTAATTAAAAAGGATCAGGTTTGAGGTGTGTTGGGCCATGAAGGATAGATACAGAAGATGTCAAAGTGGACAGCACAATGCCCAAGTTTAGATAGCTAAAGATATCCCATTTACTTGAGAGTATGCTCATTTCATATAAAAGCAAATTGGATAGATGGCCATTGTACAGTTTACTAGTGGCATCCACTTAGGAGAACCAAATAATCCTTCTTCAGCTACACAGCTATAGCCATCTCTACTGTCTACTGAGTATATGTGAATGAAAGTCAAGTCAGAGAAATTCTTGGACCATGCTTCTAAGAAATGAACTTTGGTCTGATAAATGAGGGGCTACTGCTACATGTTCTGGAGCCTCGGTGTGGCACTTTAGGATAAGCAATGGACCTCAAGGTCAGTTTGAACCACAAAGTTGGTGATTCAAACTCACCAGCCACTCCTTGGAAACCCCAAACAGAGTTGCTATGAGTCGAAACTGACTCGATGGCACTTAACAACAACGCTAAATGCTGTAGTGCCAAAATAATCTCTGTAAAAGGTAACAGTAAGGAAAGTGACAAACTAGAAGAGACATAAAAGTCTTCACATAAGAGATAGATCTTGAAAGACTACTACATGCTCGGTAAGGTGGAGGGTCAGAGAAAAAGAGGAAGACCCCTTGTAATGGATTGGCAAAGTGGCAGCATCAATGGGCTCAAGCATGACAACAATTGTGAGGTTGGCC